TATCTTTAATTTTCGCTTTGTGTATAATAAAAGCTACACTAATATGGAATGTTTATTGGGCCGTTTTAGTAAAATAAGATAATAGTAAGTAATACAAAATATGATTTGCAAACTCATAAAATATTTACAGCAGACCATGACAGATGGTATACGAATCATATCACCAGTTGATTAACTAGCGTTTTTTACCAATGGAATGACGCTATTGTCGTTCGTAAATTTTCGGTACTACTCGTCGCGCACCGAGCGAAATCGAGTTTTATTAAAAATTATAAAAACACGGTGTACATATATATATATATATTTACATAAAAAAATTATCTATTATTTAATGAAATTTTTGCAAGTATTGCGTTTTATTAAACTTTATATGACGGTTTTCTTGACAATAAGCTCAAAATATATGATGTAATAGCCAAACTCACCAAAAGAACCGAACGTATTATGTGCTTAGAAGTTACACAGACAGTGTTGCCAGATATCAACGTATACTTACTGTCGTGTGAATTTTATCTTTAGAACAGAATAATCATAATCAATAGTTCAGGATCGTTGTCAATAGCTGTAAGCTTTAGAGTATTAACAATATATATATTTGATATTGTGTGATGTTTCAGCAAGAACAGACACTAGTATGTTTGGAGAGACGTATAAAAAAATTAGAAGACCAAATACACGGAAAAAATCTGAAGCGTAACCAGGGTTTAGAGCAATCGGTAAGATACTAAAATTGAATAACATAAAATTTTATGTTAATGGTAGTACAAGACCCATTGATCTAACTGTTTCACACACTAAACGAAACCTTAGATTTTTACTTTTAGAATTCAAAGCAAGCCCGTATCGTTTTCATATTTATTAGGCCTTCCCTTAAAAAGTTAAACTCACTCCCTGGTGGTTCATCACTGACAACAGTAAGTTCAAGGACTTATAAAGTTATGTTTTATAACGTTAAAATTCGGGTTTCGATATACGCGTGGGTTACAGTGCAGATAGTCCATTATGTAGTTTTATGCTTAACAACAAACAATGGCTTAATTAAGCTCTATCAAGTAAGAAAAATTAAATTTACTGCATTCATCAGTATCATCACGTTTGAAGGCAACCCATTGAAAACAGAAATGCCAACCACTCTGTTAGTGTTAGAAAATAAAAATTAAAACTGCTCTAGCTGAAGATGATTCCTAACCTGCCAAAAGTTATACTTCAATTTTATTTGTGCCCCATGGTCCTACTAATCTACCATTTTCACCATTAGGTAGAAAAATAAAAGATGCAGCAACACCATAAGTTTCCTTAACTATATTTAATAACTCAGATCCTTTTAATGTTTACCTTTTTTTTTTCCAGAGGAAATAATTTCAGAGATTTTAACTTATCTTTGAATGATTGCCTTTTCATTCCAGGTATAGTCTCAGTAGTCCTTCATTGAGCCCTTTCCAACAATTCAGTGTCCTTTGTAAAGTAAGGCACTCAAGACTGAAGATAGTACTCCAAATGTGACCTAACCAGTGACCTATACAATGAAATTATATCATTTTTAGACTTGTATTCAGTATTTCTGTAGATGTAGCCTAAAATCCTATTTGTTATTACCACTAGTACACTGCTTGGATGTCTCAAGAGACTAATCAACTCAAACACAAAAGTATCTTTCTTTCATGACATTGTTAAAGCTATTCCCGTCAAAATTATACTTATAATTCTAATTTTGATAACCCACATGCATTATCTTGCATTTATTATAATTAAAAGCTATCTGCCATTTATTTGGCTAACTCACTAAATGATCTAAATCCTTTTGTAAAGCAGCAACACCCAATACCTTAATATCATCAGCAAATGTGAGTTATCATCATTGATGTAAATCAAAAATCCTAACACTAAACCCTGAGGTACTTCACTTGTGACACTTTGACTGAACCCTGTTTATAAAAATCCTCTACTTTCTTCTATCAACCACTTTTCTACCCAGTGAGCCAGTTTATCCCACAGACCTACAGAGATTATTTTTCAACATGCCTTTTATATGACACTTTGTTAAATACTTTTGAAAATCCAGATAAACCAAATTGACACCCTTACCTCATCTATACAAATAGTTACCTCTTCAAAGAGTGTTAAAAGATAAATAAGACAAAACTTTCCCATAGTGAAACCATGTTGACTGTCCAACAAAATACTAAATTTTGTTGTTAGAATTAGTGTAAGTATGGATTCAAGTATCAGTCTTTCAACTCTTTCTATAATGTAAGGGTGACACTGTGACCTCCTGTTTGATTAGTTTAACACTTAAAATGCTTGCATGCAATTTGCTACACACTTTCTACATAATATCAAGTTTATAATTGCAAAACAATTGTGTAATATGGTTTAGTATTTATATGATATATTTGGTAGTGAATTTTTGTAAGTTGTGTTTTTAAAAAACATCAAAAAGTACTACCTTTTTTCTCATAGTTTTTTTATTGTGTGGCTAAGATCATATAAGTGTATCTAACAGTTTTTATATTGTGTGTCTAAGATCATATAAGTGTATCTAACAGTTTTTATATTGTGTGCCTAAGGTCATATAAGTGTATCTGACAGTTTTTATATTGTGTGCCTAAGGTCATATAAGTGTATCTGACAGTTTTATATTGTGTGCCTAAGGTCATATAAGTGTATCTAACAGTTTTTATATTGTGTGCCTAAGGTCATATAAGTGTGCCTTACAGTTTTTTATTGTGTGGCTAAGGTCACATAAGTGTACCTAACAGTTTTTTTATTCAGTGAAATTATAATTGATGTGTCTGTGTTCATACTGATTTTCTTGTCTGTTCACACAATATTTTATGTACAATGATTGTTGCTATTGGATAATATGAAAGAAATTGGAATTTTGTAACTATCACTGATCAGGAAGTTCCATTTTTTATATACAGTATAGTAAGTTCTAACTTGTTTTATTTTGATGAGTTATTTATCTTAACCTGTTGAAGTCGTTATGTAGCCTAAAGTAACAGTAAAAGCATTGTCCAGTAAAAATTTGACTTCCTAATCATAGGCCTACACTGATAGATGAAATAAGTTTAAGCTACCTGCATATTTTTCGTCAACCTCACTTTCTTTTTGAAAATTATTGCTTCTTTTCAGTGACGATAAACTTCTTGTGATATGTGTTGAGTAATAATGACTTTACTTATACACAAAAGTTTGCCATCACATGACTCTTAGCTTGCAATAACTAACCCTAAATATCTTTATCTGATGTCTTCTCATATAATAATATTCCTATAACTTTCAACTAGACATATAGAAAAAAGATTATAATGAAAAAAACAGTACATTTAATGAAACTACATACAAATTCCTAGGTTTGTAGTTTCTTTCACAAAAACTATATAATACAGTTTACTCCTCTCCTTTCTCCTTATTCTTGGTGTGGATAGAAGATAATTTTATGTATGTAACAACCATTTTTAGCTGTTGGTTCTCTATTGTTTTATGGCTAATATTTATTAGTTGTTGTCCAACACACTTCAATTGAGGCTGGCCCCACTGAAATAGAATAAGTGGCAAAAAAGGAAAATCAGCTGAGAAGCAAAACTTGGATAAGTCTGTTTCTAGGCAATCGCAGTTCCTGAATAAATAGAAAACATTTCAAATAATTTTCAATTGCAAACTATACTAAATAAACTTGCAAATTTACAAAATATCAGTTATTAAATATTGTTGCGTAAAAGAATTATTGAAATTGTTAGAAATTACTATTTTTTACTTAAGTTTTGAAACTTGATATGCAAGTGTGCACTTGACACTGGAAAACTACTCACCAGTTGTAATAGGATTAGTAGATTTGAGCTTTTGGCCATTTGAAATAGCTTATGGAAAAACAATGGACTATTTGGTCTTTCAAGGCTGACCTTTCACACTCATTCTTAGGAAAAGTAAAAATTTATACTCGTAGATTCTTTACTTAAACTCTTGTAAATTGTTGGCATCCAATTCTGCCTTTAACCTTTTCAAGACAGGGCACAGGTGAAAGGCCATGTCATCTAATTTGTTGAATCGTATTCAAAGTTTTATTGAACTGCTATTTCATAAATTTATGTCAATAAGTTTGGTATCAAACTGTAGATCAATTTCTTAATTTAAAAGTAAATATTAAAAATACAGATAAACATCACGTGGTATGTTGAATGCAGCACTGGTTGAAATTAGATGTTTGTGAAGTCAAAATACTAAGTCTATAGTT